CTAGACCCTGAAGACAACTGATGCCAAGTTACATGGACAGCTCCAAGGGACGCTGGGCCCATGGATACTGAAAGGAGACAAGGACCTGAATTTGGACTTCTCAGAAGAGAAAACATTGTGAAAGAATAAATTGCCACTTGTTACAGACATCCATGGGTGGTATCTGTCATAGTAACACCACAGAACTAAGACACTCAAAGAGGAACCACGTGGAATAACTTGGGATCCGTCCATTTCTGAATGGGCTGGCAGCACTGTTGTCATCCAGCCTCTCTCCAAGGCCCAAGTCACTGTCTACCTTGAATGAGGGTGTCCACAAATGAGTCCAACGCCATCTCAGTCCTTGAGGGCTACCAGTCCCGTAGAGGAAGGGAACGGGGCGCTAATTAGATTCTTGGGGGTGGTAAGGCGTCACCAAGGAGCCCACAGAGACATAGAGGAATTTGTCACAGAGTTTATTAGCTAATTTTCTTTTCATTTCCCCTTCCACATCCCAGATCCACACCCCTACTGCAGCAGGAGTCGCCGGTTTTGCCTGTACACATAAACCCTGGGCAGAAAGAAAGAGAACCAACATTAGAGAAAACGCGTCAGGCTCCTTCCTCAACTCACTGCCCTCCACTCAATTCCTACTCATAGCGACCCCTCCTTGGGTTTCCCAGGTGGTATGTATCTCTATGGAAGTAAATTGTCCTCGTCCTTCCAGGAAGTGACTCCTGGGTTTGAACCGCCAACCTTCTGGTTCACAGTCAAATGTCTTAGGCACTATGCCACCAGAGCTTCCAAGGCTCCGCCCTACCCAATCTCGCCTCCAATCATTGGCCTCATTTGACTCAGCCTATCAGGAGGTGCCAGTGATGTCATGGGTCTCTGGGCGGATTTCTGGGGTTCTCAGCCAATCAGTGTTAGTGCATGAAAAGAGGGGCAGGCCGCTAACTGAAAGGTGGGTGGTTCCAAACCCCAGCAGCTTTGCGGGAGAGAAGACCTGATAGGTTGGGTAAAGATTCCAGCGTAGGAAACCCCATGGGGTGGTTCTACTCGGTTCTATATGGTGGCTGTTAGTTGCAATCGGCTCACGATAGATAGAGGGAGGGAGAGAGAGACACAAGGAGGGAGGGAAACAGACAAGAAGAGAGGGAGACACGCAGAGATATATACAGAGCGAGGGGCGTAGACACTTCGAAAGGACAGTGACCGATGTGGTGTCATTTTTGTGGGGAATCAGTGGGGGCACTTTGGGGACTGAAGGGAGGACTCACGAGATTAAAATGACCACGAAAAGGAGGAGCGCCAGGAACATGGAGACCGTGATGCCTAACGCAGCCTGGTCCCAGGGGTAACGGCTCCGCGGGCTGTACTGCAGGGCCATGCGAGGCTGCCGGTTGACTGGGGCGGGCAGGGAAGACAGCCCCGACCCTAAGTAACTACCCTTCCCAGGCCTTCCGCGCCCACCCCACCTGCTCCGTCCGCAGCCCCCTGCAGGCTCTCTCCCCCTCTCCCTTCTTGGGGCTTGGTAACACCCTTCCCTCTCCCGGGATCTGATTCTCCCTCCAGGCATTGTTTCGGGGATACAGCCATGAACTGACAAACAAAATTAGAAAGCAGTGTGTCTCATGAACGCAGATGCAAGCCCCTCCCAACAAAAGAGGAACCAATGCAATCCAACCCTGTATGAAAAGAATTACACGCCATGGCCAAGTGGGGTTTCTCACAGGTATGCAAAGCTGGGAGTGAAGGGCACACACAGTGTGACAAAAGGAGGGACCAGTATGTGAAGAGGTCCAGCATGATTGCTTACCCTTGACACATATATGGGGGTCCACTGTACGGTTTTCTCTGCTAAAAGCATGTATCGGAAGATTTAAAGTGATATTTAAGAATCTCTGAATGGATGAAAGAATGAATTCAGCATATTCCTCCACAGCCCTTAGATGCTGGCTAACAGGAAAACTTGTTTCCTACCACTTGTACCATTCGGCATTAGGGGCACTGTAAAGTGAAGGAGGGGGCGGAGGAGAGGAGACACTCGGAATGTAGAAGTAATTTCTGGACCACACTGGAAGCGAACAGAAAGGGCAGGTTCAAGGCTACAGATGGGGGACCTCAAAACCCAAATTCACTGGGACGTGGTCGTCTGCGTGTCTCCTGCACCTGTGCCCTGTCCCCTTGAGTGACTTACTGAAGCAATAGTCGTACTTGATACATTGGGGAACGATCTTCTGGCAGAGGAAACAGTCCAGGACCTCTTCCTGTAACAAGTCTGGACGAGAGGAAACAGGAAAAGGTGAGAGGGGACCTCTCAGGACGGTCAAGGGGTGAGAGGGAGAAGGAAAAAGAAAAGACGGCGCCCCCTGAGCCTCCTGCTTTTCGAGGTCCCATTCCACTACAGGGCATCCCTAGTTCCTGGGTGGCGTGAGTTAATGTGCTCGTCTGCTAAGCGGAAGGTGGCTGGTTCAAGGCCACCCAGGGGCTAAACGGCCTGGCCATCTACCTCCCGAAAATCAGCCTGTGGAAACCCTGTGGAGCACAATTCTATCCTGACGCATATGGGTGACCATGAATCGGAATCAACTGGACGACCACTGGTTACTCACGGCAGAGCCAGCTGCCCTGGTAACTCACACGGAAAATAAACGTTATGTGATTATGGACGCATTGAATTGCGTTGCCGTTGTCCAGTTGACCCAACATTCTATTCAACGGCATTTAAACACGTGTCCATTTCTGTTTGCACCTTTCTGTCCTGATTCCTGGAGTCTCTGAGTAGTGCAAACGGTAATGCGCTTGGCTGCTACTGAAAGGTTGGAGGTTCCAGGGGTGCCTCGCAGGAGAGGCCTGGAGAGCTGCTTCAGCCACTGAAGACCCTGCTGGGCGCAGTTCTACTCTGAAACACTACAGTCACCAGGAATTGCAATCAACTCCAGAGCAACTGATTGGGTAGCTTTCTCTTGGCGCCCCCTTGTGGCAGAGGCTGACTAAATATTGATTCATCAGTCTTCTCGCCGTTGCACACATGAAGACTACATTTCCCAGGCTCCCTTGCAGTAGGTTGTAATCATGGACTGAGCTCTAGCCAACAGAAAGGGAGCCGAGCGATGTGTGCCATTTCCGGGCCTGGCCATAAAACTACCAATAAGATTCCCTAATCTTTCTCCTCTGAAGCAACTTTGGAAGCTACAAAATGGGGGGTAGCCTAGATCCCTGAGTCATCACTTGGAGGAGCTACTTAACTCATAACAGGATTTGCATGAGAGAGAAATAAACCTTTGTTGTGTTGAACAAGAGAGATGTGGGGGTTTGTTACCACAGTATAGCCTAGCTTAGCCTGACTTAACACACCTCCAAATGAATTTTTTGCCAGTTGCAGTCAATTTCATAAACACTCACAAAGCAGATGTCCCTGGGAACCATGGGTTTGGGGAACCACCGAATGGAGTAGATATAATCGCAGAATTTCATTTGAGGGAGACAGGGTCAGGAGACGTAGGATGGTAGAGAAGGGAGGGATATACACAATAAATGAGGAACTCACGGCAAATTTTGGGATGGCAGGCTGCAAGAGAAAAGAGCTGAGGTGAGTTGAAGCAATTTGAGAGTTTGATCAGGAGAGAGAGAGGGAGAGTCTGCGAAAGGAGAGAAGGGAACATTGGGGAAAGATGAAGGCGGAGTCGTACAGGAGTTGAAGGTCTGGGAGGAGAACTGGAAGAAGGGGACGGAGGGGTTCAGTGGAGAGACGGGGGTGCACCTTTCAATTCATATTCTTTCAAAACTTTCTTGAGTTCACGGAGCACATCCCGTCTAAAATTCACCAGCTGTTCCAGCAACGGCTCATCTGAGGAAAGAGAAGACTCGCATGGGGTGGGAGGCACCCAGCCAGCATATCCCACCCACAGTTCCCAAGAGAAGGGATGAGGAGACACCTCTTCTTCTACCAGGTGTCTTGGCTGCCATAGCAGAAGATCATGAGTGGCTTTCAAGAACAGAAGTTTATGTTCTCGTAGTTCAGGAGGGTGGTGGTGGCGTGGGTAGGTGCTTTTGAGTCCGCTCCCACTCACAGCGACCCCGTGTACAAGAGAGCTAAACACTGCCCGGTCCTCCACCAGCCTCACAGTCCACGTTATGCTTGAGCCCATCGCTGCAGCCACTGTGTTGAGGGCCTTCCCCTTTTTCATTGACCCTCCATCCCACCAAGCATGTCATCTTTCTCCAAGGAATGGTCCGTTCTGACAACATGACCAAAGTAGGTCAGGTGAAGTCTGGCCATTCTTGCTTCCAAGGAACATTCTGGCTGTACTCCTTCCAGGACACATTTGGTCATTCTTCTGGCAGTGCTTGGTACTTTCAGCATTCTTCACCAACATCACAACTCAAAAGCCTCAACTCTTCTTCGGTCTTTCTTATTCATTGTCCAGCTCTCAAATGCATATGAGGTGACTGAATATGTATCATGGCTTGGGTTAGTTAGGTGCACCTTAGTCTTCAAAGAGACATCTTTGCTCTTCAACGCTTGAAAGAGCTCTTTTGCAGCAGATTTGCCCAGTGCAATATGTTGCCTGATGTCTTGACCGCTGCTTCCTTTGGTGTTGACTGTGGAACCAAGTAATATGAAAACTTTAACAACTTCAATCTTTTCTCCATGTATTGTGATGCTGCTTATTGGTCCAGTTGTGAGGATTTTCTTTATGTTGAGATGTAATCCATACTGTCGATTGTAGTCTTTAATCTTCGCGAGGGCTTCAAGTCATCCTCATTTTCAGCAAGCAAAGTTATGCCATCTGTGTATTGCAGGTTATTAATGACTCTTCCTCCAATCCTAATGCCACACTCTTCTTTATATAGTCCGGCTTCTTGGATTATTTGCATGTTCTTCCCTTTTGGTTTTCTAACTCCAGGTCTTTGCACATTTCATTCGTAACTGGCTTTGTCTTCTTGAGCTGCTCTTTGAAATATTCTGTTCAACTCTTTTATCTTGTCATTTCTTCCATTTGCTTTAGCTACTCTCCACTCAAGGGCAAGTTTCAGAGTCTCTTCTGATATCCATTTTGGTCTTTTCTTCCTTTCCTGTCTTTTTAATGACCTTTTGCTTTCTTCATGAATGATGTTCTTGATGTCATCCCACAGTTCCTCTGGTTTTCAGTCACTGGTGTTCAATGCATCAAATCTATTCTTTAGATCGTCTTTAAATTCAGAAAAGATATCATTAGTGTCGTATTTTGGCTCTCATGGTCTTGTTTTAATTGTCTTCAGCTTCAACTTGAACTTGCATATGAGCAGTTGATGGTCTGTTCCACAATCAGCTCCTGGCCTGGTTTTGGCTGAAGATATTGAGCTTCTCCACCGCCTCTTGCCACAGATGTAGTTGATCTGATTCCTGTGTGTTCCATCTGGTGAAGTCCATGTGTACAGCCACCATTTGTGTTGTTGAAAAAGCTATTTGCAATGAATAAGTCATTGGTCTTGCAAAATTCTATTATGCAATTTCTATCACCAAGGCCATATTTTCCAACTACTGGTGATTCTTCTTTGTTTCCAACTTTTGCATTCCAGTCACCAGTGAGAATCAACACATCTTGATGGCACACTTGGTCAATTTCAGACTGCAGATGTTGGTAAAAATCTTCAATTTCCTCGTCTTTGGCTTTGCTGGTTGGTGTGTAAATTTGAATAACAGTCGTATTAACTGGTCTTCCTTGTAGGCATATGGCTATTACCCTATCACTGGCAGTGTTATACTTCAGGACAGATCTTGAAACATCCTTGGTGACCACGTAGCCATGTACCTTACCCTCTAGTTGTGCTTGGTGCAAGATCAGCTCTTTTGTATCTCAAGGAGATGGAGTGATCCTGCCTCATTAACGTAACAAAGACAACCTGTTACCAAATGGCACTGTGACCACAGGTACCAGGGTTACGATTTAAAGCACAATTATATCCACAAGGAAGTGTCGTTTGTAGCACTGCAGGACACACAGCGTGGGGTGGTGGTTAGGAGTACAATGGCCGAGGCTAATGTCGCGGGGTCAGAGCTTCAGCTGTTACTGCCTAGCTGTGCGACCTTGGGCAGGTCACCTAACCTCTCTGTGTCTCAGTTGCCCCTCTGAAAAATGCAAATCGTAACAGATCCCACCGGGATGGGCTGTCGTATGTAAAGCCCTAAGAACAGTGCCGACCAACAGAGAAAGCTATACGCATGTTTTCTTTAATATATATATTTTTTTTATCAAGGATCAGGAGGCAGAGATGCAAACCAGAGAATGGGAGGAAAGGGGTCGGGTCTGGGACAGGGTCTCCCCTCTTAGCCCCTACCTCTCAGAGAATCATCAGAGAAGGTCTTGGTTTGATTCTTGACAAAGGAGGCCACGGCGTCCAGTCTGGCTGTCCCTGGGGGCGACAGGGGACGTGGCAGTTTCAACGCGTCTCCCAGAAGCCCAATGACCCCCTCCCGTAACCTCCTCCAGACCTGGCTCAGCCCAGGGGCCAGCGATCCTCCAAGCCTCCTTCCTCCCCGCAGCCCGGGGCTGCCCTCCACTCCCCCGCTCCCCAGCACACACCCACTTTCCCCACGAACGCGTTCAGCGCGTAGTCCCGGAAGAACGGTCCCTCCATGCCCAGTATCAGGGACTGAGCGCGGGCCTGCAGCCGCTCCTCGTGGAAGCGCCCGGGAACCAGCATGAAGCGGAGGTGGCTCAGGGCCTCCTGCACCGACGGGACGCATTGCAAACAGCTCCAGCCGCCGCGGGCGCTCAGGCCCAACCACAGCAGCAGGGCCCAGGCCAGAGGCATGGCGGGGCCTTTGTGACGTCACAGACGGGGGCTGGGCCACGCCTCCGGAGGGGCGTGGCCAGGGGCCCAGGGAGGATCGCTAAGTGTTCAGGCAGGTTGTAAATGCTCCCCCAAGCATCTAAAAAGTGGAAGACGAAGAGTTGATGCTTTTGAGTTGGTGAAGGATGCTGAAAGTACCGTGGACTGCTAAAAGAACCAACAAATCTGTCCTGGAGGAAGTGCAGCCGGAATGCTCCTTGGAATCGAGAATGGCCAGACTTGGTCTCACCTACTTGGGTCATGTTGTCAGAAGAGATCATTCCCTGGAGAAGGATGTTCTGTAAAGTGGAGGGTCAGCAAAGAAGGGGTAGGCCCTCAATGAGATGGATTGACACGGTGACTGCAGCCATGGCTCAGGCATAGCAGGGATTGTCAGCCTGGCCCAGGAACCGGTACTGTTTCGTCCTGTTGCCCTGGGGTCGCTATGAATAGGAGACGACTCAACGGTACCTGACAATAACAACATGCAACATGGCTCTAGGAGCTAGGAAGAGAGTCAAGAAGAACCAGCCCTATGGGATTTACATTTATTCATTTAACAGATATTTATTAAGCACCTACTGTGTGCCAGGCCCTGTTGGAGACACAAGGGATAGGGCTGAGAAAACCAGACACGGTCCCTGCCCTCAAGGACTTTACATCCATTCATTAGATGATGTTTTTGCAGCATGTCTCC